TTAATACATATTTTCAAAATTACTACAGCAAACATCATTCTATCATGTTCTATCGTGACTCGACATTTTTTTCTATTTATTACATTAGTGTCCTATCGTTCTGAATTAAATATTTCTTTCGATTTCAATGTAGAAACTTTCTAATAAATAAATTGTATGTAAATCTATCACGTCAAATTTTGTGTTTATATTATCGTATTCTATCTGTATGTTGAATGTTTACCTATCGTTTTCTATCCAAAATTCCTTATTTTAATAATCACTTACTAAACAAAAAATATAATTTAAAATAAATTGTCAAACTTGTGATTGATTAATGAATGTAAAAAAGTTTATTTGGCCAAGGAACGAGCAGAATAAAAATGACGTATAATCACGAAATAATTAATATTAATAAATAAATAATAATTTAATGTCAAAAGAAACACAATAATAAAACGTTTCAATCTATACAGAGTCTTCTTCAATTAATATATATATAAATATACGTATTTACATAAAGTTCAAATTTAATAAATAAATAAATAAGTAAATAGTTTATATAAAATGGATATAACAAAAACATATTTATGTTAGAAAATAATTAAACCTGGAGTCCACACTAGGGTTAAATTACATTTCTCCCCTAGGCTATTCAGTGCCTGCTTACAGTCCCAAACTACTGCCGATTCAGTAGTGGTCTTCGTAAAGGCCTCCATAGCTGCTCTGCTGTCCGAGCATATGTATATAGTGTGCCGACTCCTTCTTGTTTCCGTTAGGATTTCCGCACACCTATGGTTGGCCAGCACCTTGGCTTGAAAGACCGTGGCCAGTCCGCCCACAGGTATGCTCTCTCTATAGTCTATTGTGGGTCCAAACACCCCCGCCCCGAAGCGGCCGCCTGCCCTCGATCCATCCGTGTACCATAGGTCCACTTCCGGACCGGTGAGAAAGCCTGGCCGTCTCCAGTCCTTTCTAGTAGGTATTAAAACCTTGAAGGTATTAGTCAACTGATGTTTCCTAGGAATCCGGTCTTGTTTTAAAGTGAAAGGGTGCTTTTGAAGAAGTCCGAGGCCAGTATTCCTCCACTCCCCTTGACACATGAGTCTGTATGCTGTAAGTCTGGCCAGATAGATGATCTTCTGATCCAGGGGTGGTAGGCAGAGGGCTACTTCCAGCGCCTCTGTTGGAGTGGTCTTCATGGCCCCCACTGCAGCCCTTAGGTAATTACCTTGTAGGCTTTTGAGTAGGTTCCTAGCTTCCACTTTCTCTACCCTGGGCCACCATACCACTGCTGCATACGTTAACCTAGGTAATAATACTGTTTCGTAGATCCACAAGGCAACCCTGGGTCTAATGCCCCAGTTCTTGCCTAGGGCTCTTCTGCAAGCCCACATGGTGGTATAAAACTTTTTCCTCTTTTTCTCGAGGTGTAATTTCCAGCTCAGTTTGATATCTAGGACAGTGCCCAGATACTTCACCGATCCGGAATATGCTAAGCTCACACCCTATAGCTTTAGTAGATCTATGGGCTCTGGCTTGTATTTCCTGGTGAAGATCACTGCCGTGGTCTTTGATGGGTTGACCATCAGATCCTTGGCTCTGCACTAGTTTTGTATTATTCTCAAGGCTTTGTCCATCCGTTCCTTAAGGATTGAAAGAAAGCTGCCCCTAGCCACGATGGCTATGTCGTCTGCATAGCCATAGACCAGGAACCCTGGTTCCTTCAATATGGTCAGGAGTTCGTTCACCACCAGGCACCACAGCAGAGGGGAAATGACTCCCCCCTGCGGGCAGCCCTCGGCTGGTCGTCCTTTTACTGTTGTGTCACCAAAGCTGACGGTCAAGTTTCTGCCCTTCAGCATGTTTTGTGTCCAGTCCACGAGTGCCTCGGGGGTCTCATGTCTGATCATTGCTTCTTTAATAGACTTGTTTGAAGTGCTATCGAAAGCTCCTTCTATGTCTATAAAGACTCCTATCGCATAGCCTTTGGCCTCCAGCTGACTTCCGATCGCGCTCACAAGGTAATGCAGGGCAGTGTCAGTTGATCTGCCCTCCCTATAGGCGTATTGAGAAGCAGATAAAGACTTTTCAACCAGCGGTCCTGTTTTTAGAAACCTATCCACCAGTCTTTTTAGAGTCTTTAAGACAAAGGATGTAAGGCTGATAGGTCTGAAGTCCTTGG